AGAGAAAGGTCTCTGCCTCACCTTTCCTGCTAAATAATGAGTATGATTCTTCTAAGAATCAATACAGTGGAAACTTTCTAGACARTAATTCTCCAATTCTTCAGTTGCTCATAATGTGTGTGTGTATGTATATATATATAGTAAATATCTCAAAAAATCCATTTTAAAGAAACACAGTCCCTTAAATGCACAACATTACAAAGGTTTTTTATGTGCAGACCACTGTGAGCTTAAGAAATATGATTAATTTGCACATGGCTGGACATGTAACACCATGACTTTGCAGCATGGCATTCCCAGGSCCAGAATTACATCCATTTATTTCTGCCATATTGTTGGTTGAACCAGCCCAATGGTTGAACCATTTTGCTTAGATCTTAAAACCTGACTGTTTATAGAAACCTGCAAAAACTTAATAATCAAAATAAATGCACAAGCCTCAGCTGTTTTGGAAGATACTGAAACATTTTTSCATAGGAAAATACAATGGGACTGTGCTTTTWAAGTCTAAGGTCCATTTCCTTAGACCAAGTAGAGTTATAGAATAATATATTCATTCAATGAAGCCAAGTCTATCTATTGTTTCCATAACCCTGACCTCATTAATCCTCATCTCAAGCCTTTTCCTCATCACCTTATCCCAATCAGATCTTATCCACTTTTAGTTTTTGTTTCCTCCTTGCTGTTACTCTTTTGTTTCAAGTGCCCATCTTAACAAAGTTAATTTGTAGAAATTATCTATATATATTTTGCTTTAAAAGAGGGATATGTGGGGCCTTGACCATCATTACAGCTTTTTATATGATAGCTTTTTTCCCAAATCTGGTGCTATTTGAAGTGTATAAAAACATTCATCTCCATAAAAGCAGTGAGAAAAAATAGCAAGACAGGATTTTGATCAATACTGATTCTGATTAAGTTTGATCACAGCACTTGACATTTTGAGCAAGGCTGGAAGTACACTCACAGAAACTCAGGATCCGCCAAGAGTCTCTAGCAGGATAACGGGACATTGTTGACTTAGGTGGGGAATAGTCTATCTACTTTTTTGTTTGCCTTGTATGGCTATAGTAAGACTATAAAATGCATTAACTTCGTTTTGTAATTAATTTTATTACCAAAGCTTCAGTGGTGTTGTTTCATTGGTGACTTATTTTAGGCTTTTCCTGTCTTCTTTTTTCTCTTGGCAGGAGGAAATATTGTTTTATCAGCACATTTATAGATTAAAACAAAAAAAAAACACAAATAAAATTATTAAATGTTTGAGATCATTGTTGATCAAATTAGAGTCATCCAATGCCATCCAAGTACACGGAAGGAGCTGGTGCAGGCATGGGTAATGTGTCACTTTTAGAAAGAGCAGTACTCATTTATATATACATACTCTCATATGGAAATATCAGGGAAAGTTGTAGAGAGCATATTTTTTCGAGCTGAAGAAAATGAGGCTCATAAAAACGTGCATTCACTAATCATTATATGTATAAATTAGCAGGGATGTTGTTAATCGTTCCTTCTCCTCTAGAGGCCCATACTACAGCATTAAAATGTGAATGGGACAGATGTAGACACCTAATCTTGATGGGTCTGGGATCCAGAAATTATATTCTGCTCATTCCACCTATTTCTTTTTATCACTGCATGGTTTATAAAAAACAAAGCTCAGATAATTAAAAAATTACATACAGATGCAAAACAACAAGATTTTTCAAGMTAACTTTCCTAGTTTTAAACTGATTTTCTGAGACAGTCAGTCTTATTCCCTTCTTTATCTCTGAGGACTCATTTCCTTCCTTTTCATGTAAGACAAAAATCTTTTGGAGATACTGAGTCAGGAAGACTCTGCTCTCTGTAATTCTCATGCTGCACTGGACACTGCTGTGTTTGAGGACTCCCCAGAAATATATTAAGTGATGTGATTGACCTCAATCATTTGCTTTGGTTTGATTTCTTCTCTCATATTCTTCTCCAGGGTAAGGAGTATATTCAATGTTTTGTTAGGATTTGTTGGGGGTTTTTTRAGGTTTTYTTGTATACAATGATACATTAAGGYGTGTTTTTCTTAGGAAAGGTTAAAGTAGTGCATCTTGCACTTGCAGTAGTACAAAGGTGACAAATCTTGTGACACCCCTCCACTCAYGTGTGAATTCATTAACAGTTTTAGTTGACTAAAGTCCCCAAGAAATCTCTGCAATGTGCATAGATGAGCTGTACCCTTCCTATGGGAAGTCCTAGTCCACATGGGGGGGGAACATTTTCCTGATCTCTATCCCAGGGATCTCTGCAGTCACCCTGTGCTCAGGTCCTTGAGCATCATAAAAGTGAAAACTGCCACTTTTGGTTCTGAGCCTCAGCTCACAGTGTGTGCCCACTGCTGCTGATGCAATTAGAAGATAAATCTTGAATAGCTGTCACTGTATCAGAACTGATAAATTGCTTGGTCAAAGAAAAAAAAGAGAAGGAAGAAAAAAAATAATGTGAGATTCAAATAAAAACAAAATGATTATGTTTACCAAGCAAAGGGTTGGATTGATGTGGGTGAAGGGGAGGTTTCTTTTATGAACTCTGATTATCTCATGAGAAAAAAAAAAAAAACCTGACATTTGTACTTAGATCAGAAAAATTTGAGCTTTAAGGCATTCTTTTAATCAAAAAGTTCATCTGATGAAATGCTGTAGGATTTGCTTACATATCAAAGGAGCTCCCTAGAGATTTATGCGATATAACTGAATACAATTAAAAGATCAGTTGTAAACACCATTTGATACAGTTTGTTTGCTGTGCTTTGGAAGATAAGTTCAGTTAATAACACATGAACTTGTGGTGRTTTAGAAGRCAGTAAAGTGTTGAACTCTAGTGCRAGAAAAGKATTRCCATAGGAGCCTCCTAGAGATGCAACTATTCAGCTATCTTGGATCTGATGGTCTGTAAAAAGAGAACAGAGAAACTATTAAGCCAAGGTTCATATCCAAGAATGGAATCATTTACGRACAACCTTTCTGGGCCTAATTCGTTGCTGAATTAAACCCCAAGTAATGTCATTGAAGTCAATGGGGTTATGCAGGGCATAAGTCAGTGGAGGAAATTAGCTCTCTGTCTTGAAGCCAAGGAACAAAAGGGAAGAGTGATCCAATAAAGGAGAGAGGAAATGCTGATATTAGCTGAATGCCACTTCTTGGTACAGCGCGTTCTTTTTGTCCAGCAGTGAATATTTCATCCTTCCCAGGTGCAAAATCTTCCCAGCAGCACTATAAGGCAGATTTATAATAAATGACAAAATTAATGGTATAGCTCMATTGAAATGGGCTCCCAACAGGAATTTAAGCAGCTAGCAGACAATCCCTATGCTGGCTTCAGTGTGATCTCCAAGTCTTGATTTCTTCAGGAAAGCCTTGAGGCTGACCTTTTTTTTTTCCCTCTTACCATCTCTTACCCATATAGATGTTAGAAGATAGCATTTGTGGGTGTGGGTAGCTTTCTACATAAAAAAAAACTGACAGAAATTCCAGGAATATCTGTGCAAGAGCTGGAATCAACCAGGCATAGTCACTGTCTCAGATATGAAGGCACTAGGAAATAGAATGGATTTGTTTGCATTTAATKTAGAAATGGGTAATGTTAAGGGCTCTAAGAACCCACAGTATTGCAGTGATTGCACATGTGCCTTGGATTAATGAAAAAATAATCCATTTTCACTAACCAGCATTCATAATACAGGGTCTCTCGTGTTTCACTTTTTCTACTTCCCAACCCACTGATTACTCAAACTGAAGTTATGATCATCATCTCCCTCAGCAGGAGATTATGAGTTTTGCACCATTCACAGAGAGCTCAGTCCTGGCTGAAGCCTCTAGGCATTTTTGCTATCTGTATAAAGAACAAATTCCCAAAGCATACAGGTCGGTTTGCAGCTCATGAAAATATCTTTGTGAGGTGACCTGTGCAGAATAACACATTTCAGCAGCATGGCTCACTTTTCACCGCACAGAGATCAAACAACTGGAATTCTTTTGACTCCCTACCATGCAAACTTCAGCAATGAGTTAAAAGATGAAAAATGTTTTATTGTGATTAAGTAGAGAAAACTCTCCAGACCTAATGGTAAGGGAAGTTGTGTAAAGCAGGCAACACGTGACCTGTGTTGCTGCTCCAGTATTTGTTCTTTTAGTTCTGGTGTAACTTCTTAGCAATAACAAAACTTGTTGGAGGGACCAGCAGCTGACTCCCATGATGCTTGGCCCATTGCATGCATCATATTGGCCTTTTTTTTTTTCCTTCTTTTTTTTCAGGTGGTACTTTGGTACTTTAATAACCACTACAGATTTTAATTTTCTTTAAATCCCACTGCTTCTGTTTACAATTCAATTCTGGGCATGCTCTGCAGAGAGGATTGAAGGGAACAAGATACAAATTTGCCAGCTGCTGTGTGAGATGCTGATGTAAACACATCCAAAGTGATGTGTCTTGATGTTTGGGGACTATTGCAGATATAGGAACAAGTTCCATTAATCCACAGCCCTAATTTCAACTGATAAAATATCATTACAAAGCTGGTTTACAAGTGCACTGAATTTGTCCTTGGTTTAGTTGTCAAGGTTCTCATTTTTAAAGAAGTTCTGCTAGAGGGTCAGGTTTCATCAGWCAGCAAATCTGATTTTGACAGAAATATATACATTTTCAGTGGCTAAAAGCTCATCCATTCAAATATCCATTCACTTTTCCATTTTTTCAATAATTAAAAAGAAGTCAACTAGGTTTTGGAAAAATTTTGATCAGTTTTTTTAAGTTTTATTGAAAGATGTGTTTTTCAAGAAAGATGCAAAATTCCYCTGACTATTTCTAATTAAAATTACAGAACTGTTGTGGAGAATTATCTTTACCACAACAAAGAAAGTCTGTTGAATTTTGTTATTTCTGTTTCTGTAGTTGYTTTTCTAAAGCCATCCCTTATTTCTCTGTTGTACCCATCTTACATCTAACACTATTTTTCTTTGTTTCAGCTGGCAGGCTTCATCTACGCCTGTTATGTTGTGAAGTGTATTACTGAAGAAGAGGACAGCTGTAAGTACTAAAGCTTCATTACATACAAAATGAATTMTTTTCTTTTTTTTCTAAATCACCTCTCCGCTATGCTGTCTCTTCCTGACTTCAACATAGATGCCTTATTATACCGTAGCCAGATCATGTTTTCTGTCCCTCCTTCTTGRTCTAGAATTTGGAAATGTCTGAGATACAAAAGAGTCATGAAATACTGGTTAACAATTGCATACACCTTGTTTTCTGGAAAGATCCTTGAAATTCTTTATCTCACAGCTTAGCTTAAAAAAAAAAAAAAAAAAAAAAAAAAAAAAAAAAAAAAAAAAAAAAAAAAAAAAAAAAAAAAAAGGAAAAGTCCCAATTAGTAAATAGGAACTTTTTTTTTACCTTCTCCAGACTGTTATTAACTATCTTGTTATCTCAGTAATTGGTTACTTCTGAGGTTATAGCTCTTTTGTGTTGGCATGTGTGTTGTAAAAGCATTTCTGKCAAAAAAATAGCTTTAGACCATGTCAGGACCTTCATTTATGAGAGGTGAAACACTGAACTTCCTCTTTGTTTCTGCTGCTCCCAGGGCACAATTACATGGAGTGAAATGATTTCATATAGATGTATGTTTTTGTTTCTTCTGATTATTTATATCAATAGAAGCTCATTGAGCAGAATTTGCTCTTATTGCATGTTATAGCCATTTCATTTTTTCTCTACTCTAACCTTGATTTTTTTTTTTTTAAAAAGGGCCACTGCAGCATTTGAGTATATCTTGGGATTCATACTAAAGCACTTTAGAAACAAGTATCAGAACTGCATGTAACTTTGATAAAATATACATGAATCCTAGCGAGAGCTCTGCAAGAGGAAGCAAAAGGGTTTTTATTTGATTGAGAGCACTGCTAGAGCTGGCGGGGGTTCCTTTGTGTGTTCCCCTGCGTGGAAAATAGCTACAACCCTRTAATCTATTGGCAATACAGTGTCACTGTGAGCCATCAAGGGGAGATTTAATGCTGAAATCAAACCACCACACTTCGGAGGTCGTTTCAACTACGCTCATTTCAGTTGTCTTTGYGTTTCTGTGGAAGTGAGCAAAGTAAAAAGTAGAAAGGGTTTGGGAAAGCTGTGTGGGGCAGGGGGATGTCACAAATAGGCTTGTCTGTTTGGGGAAGTGCCCAGACATATGTACTTTCTCCTGCTTTCCTGTWAAGCGCATTCACTATCCACACGGCTGGAGAAGAGTTATTCCTTGTCCCCCAAAATGAAATCCTGTTTAATACTGTTCTGCCTTCTCTTCTAAGGGCTTAAATCTTTTTTTCACTCTTCTGTAGTGCTCTAGGGCATGATATAAGTAAAAAGCAAGGAAGGGCCTTGGGACTTGGCTCACCAATGAAGCGCAGAAGTCAGAGCACGTTTGAGAGATTTCTCCCATGGTCCATAAAGCAGCATTCCTGGCAGCAAAGTGTCACAGCCAATATGGTATTGTTTTCTTCTCACTGCAGCAGGAGCTCCCTGTTGTTCAGAAAGCACAGACTGTCATACTTTGAACATTTTCTTGCCATCACCTTGACTACTTTGTCACTACTGTTGTCATTTAGATTTCGTTGTTACCTTGTTCTTACACCCCATTCAGGTCTCCTCATCCAGTCAAAGGGTGTCTCACCCATCTGCAAGCACCTTTCCGAGGTGCCAGGGTGAATCCCCACCCAGTGCAAGGAAGCCAGCACAAGCTCACRTGCTGCAGCGTCCTTCTGGTGAGGTTTGGAAGCTTGGCTGGCAAAAAGGAAAAAAGGGAACTTCTGTGGCTGAGTTGTGCCAACAGTGTAATAATGCTCAGATTGGATTTGGCCCCTCAAGGTATCATAAAATTCAAGCAGCGTTAGTTTCTACTGAGAGACCTCATGATGCAGCAAGTAAGGCTGGTTCTAATTCTCTCTCTGCTCAGACATCCACTCTGACACATACCAAGTGCTCACTGTGACAGCCAGGGYCTGCAGTCTGCACAAATACCCCCTGCTCAGGTTTAATTTAAAATTCTTTCATTTCTCTTAATACATTTTCTTGCCTTTTCCATCCATTTTGACAACAAGTCCATCTGTCGYGTTCTTCTGAGAAGTGTACCCCTTATGGATGTCATGTTATTTAGTATTTGTACTCCGGAGAAAGATGCCTAAAATTGACTTTATATAATCACGGACGGGGTCATCTCATGCAGGCCAAGTAAATGCTAAGGAGAAAGGAAAAGTGAAATATGTGACAGACTCATTGCCAGAGCTCCCTGCATAGAGTCTTTGATCTGAGACAGCTCCAGATCTTCTGGCTGTGTTTCTTTCCATAGTCTCTTCTTCCACTTTTCCAGTCCCTCACCCCTCCCTATTGCTATGGAGCAAACTCAGTGACACAGAGGGATGAAGGTGCCTCCCTACTCACCGTGTACTCCCTCCTTTAAAGCTGCTGAGCATCTAGCATTGGAGRAAAAAGGTTACTGTGCTAGTCCCCAGCTCCTGCCTAGCATCCACACCTGATAAGGAGTGAGGCTGGGCTTGTGCTTCCGTGAGATTTGGCAGCTGGTGTTCCCCCCGTGTGCTAGCAATGTGCCAACTGTGAAAGCTCCTCTGGTAAAAACAGTCAYCAGAAGGCAACAAGCACGCTGCCCTGCCTTCCCAGCTGCAAAATGCTCTGTGAAGAACAACAGAGGGCATTGTCATCTTCTTACCCACCTTCATATTCACGGACATCACAGGGGAAATCTAGATCTCTGGCTTTCAGATGGGATGCCTTACAGACAAATAGAAAGAACCATAAAGATAAATATGTTGGGTCACACCAAAGTGTCATTCAGCCACAAGTCCTTTCTGATGAGAGGGAACCAGCAGAAAAAAAAGTCTTTTACTTCTCACAATAGACACAGTGAACACCCATGCACTCAATTCCATTTTTTCTGCTTCACAAATGGGCCGTGGGAACAGCAGCAGCCCAAAAAAGGAGCAAAAGAGGCAGAAATAGTGAACCTGGCAGGACTGAATAGCAAGGAATAAGACTAGAGAAAAAGCCATGCAACATCCAAGAGCCAAACATGGGCACATTCCAGATTTTAACCAGGGGAAGGTATTGACACTGCTCTGGGGTATAGAAGGTGTCCTGTTGGCACAGAGCCTCTACTGTAGGAACACAGTGGAGTTGCTCTTAAGCTGCTTCAGCTGAATTAGCTTTTCTCTCAAAGTAATTGTAACAAGCTGAAAGAATTACTATTTCTCCATTCTTTATGCAGATTTTATTAAGAGAACAAATGAGCTAGGGTAGAATTAAGCAAACATTTCACTAAGATTAACCCGCTCCATCCAGCCTCACTCAAGGATTAGAAATGGAACAATACAGTGATCAAATCATGGTCATAACTAGGACTGAATCAGCAAGTCTGGAGGTTTTAATTACTCACACATSAAATAAATCCAGCCACAGGCCCTCTAAATCAAAGCTCAAGTCTGTGCTACCTTTCATGAGAACAATCTGCTTTGGTTTAATTCTGCACCAAGGATTACAGAAGAAGTTGTTTTCCCTCTTGATGCAGTCCCACAAGTTTCTAAYGCCGGGTGCACCAGTCAAGCTGCAGCACCATGTCCAAGGGGCAGACAAGAGAGGCTTTTCCATGGCTGCTCCTCTCAGTGGAGGTTTTCCACTGCCAAAGGTTCCTTCTGCATCATTTTCCATGTGKCTGCAAAGGGAGGAACCCTGAGGGTGCCTCAGGTCTTTGGGAAAGGCAAGGGAGGATGGGTGCCCAGCAGCAGAGCTGCCRACTCCACTCTTTCCCCTTCACTACTGCCACTGGAGTTCTTATGCCATTGCCATTCTTACCTCATTAGCATTATTAGCTGCAATAAATAAAACATGAAAATGTCACCAGTGACCATTACTTGGAGGCATTCTATGGCTGTGAACTTACTGGAACTCTTCATTTTTTTTCCAAAATCATATTAAGCCTGCATTTTTCAAAGGCTGCACATAATTTTTAGTAACATCGAAATGCTCMTTTAATGTGTATTTCCTCATTAACAATTTGGCTCCCTGCTAAAAGCTGCTAAAGCCTTACTAAAAGAAAATTCAATGTGCTTTTGAAAACTTTATTAACTGATAGAGATTTTATGGAAAACACTGGAATGTAAGCAACCAAGCAGTATCCTCCCAGAGCTTTTTGTGAGTAAGCAATTAAGAAACCTGGGTTACTGAAACAGGAATTCTGCATTCACCTTGCAGGTTCTGTTGAGGGTGAGGAGACTGGCTGGATGAATCTCAGCCAAAAGAAAATCTCCAACTTAGTCTGTGTCCCACAGTAAAATGCTAACCTAGAAGGCTCCCTTGCAGACCCAGAGAGGAAGCAGAAATARCATTTACTTACTCTAACACAAGGCAATCAGAGAATAGAAATGGCCCTTCTGACTGTTCCCTGTGTACCGTAAGGCACAACCTTTGCACCATCTGATGCTAGCAGGAACTTGCACATACACTTTCTTCTTTTCTCCTGGCATTGTTTCCAGTTAACCTGCAAAGAAAAGGAAATTGCAATGGTGTCAAGTATATTTTTGCTGTATATTCTCTGGAATATAGCTATTGGGGATGTCTGGCACAGAAGTAAAGCTCTATATAACCCTTTAAAATTATTTCACTCCTCCTCCTCCAATAAAAATTTGAATTCAAGATCCCATTTGAATTACCGAAAATATTCGGGAAGACATTAATACCCTAGATAGGTAATATATTCTGGGGAGGAATACAGTATTACGTGTAGCTATGTGCCAATAAACTTGGTGCCAAACAATAATCCACTCTGGGATGCTAGGCCTGACCTGGGAAGTGCAAAGGTGATGACAAAGATTTTCTTTTAAAAGAAAATATTAAATTCACTGTATGCGAGAGATGTGAAATTTTGACATTCATATGGGATAGGTAGAAAAAAAAATTCTTTTTATCTCTGTTACAGGCAGCCTTCCACTTTTGGGCAGGTTATTTAACCTCTCCATATTTCCGTTTCCCAT